TTTGAAAAAAGTGATGTGTAATTGCATTTGAATCATTGTTTTTTCCACTTTTTTTAACATCTTTTAATGACGTTGTACTGTCGAAACCTGTCTTTTTGCTGGCCACTATGTCATTTGTACATTTCACCGTGTATTGCTTAAAATTGGGTTAAATCTAAAGGATTTTATACTTCGGGTGAAGTAATGCACCTGTTTTTGTTTTAGATTACCTAATTCCAAGTTGATTATTGTAACTGTGGGCTGATGTCTGGATCAATCATGTCAGTCGGTATTCAGTAGTTATCAAAAACAGTTGATTATTCATTTCCTCAAGAAAAAAAAGTGATGAATTTTTTCGCTATTCCGAAGGCTCATTTATCTTATTTGGGCTTGTTGCTATTTAGAAATCAACCTCTTTGGTGCCATAAACTTGAAAATTACATTAAATGTCATTTTCCATCGAAAATACAGAAATGTTGTCAACATTTTTCCGTGCAAAAAGTGCAAGTTGGTATCATATGCAGCGCCATGTTTTTTTCGCTCGTGACAATGGTGTTGTTTTTATGGTTTGAAGCCAACAATTTCATCCAGCGTTCTGAAGCATTTTTCTTTGTTTTTAGTAACATTATTGGTACTTCTTCATATTTGGCTTTAATTTGGTATAAGAAGAGATTATCTAAACTTCTGGAAAGAACTGGTAAAACTGTAGAACAACGTGAGGAAAAAATATAAATTTTCTAAAAAATAGAAAAGTCCATTCAAAATTTTTCTTTGGAAATTTTAGTAGGAGCATGTCATCCATTGGCATGCATTTTTTACATTAATGTAACGAAAAAACTGGAAAAATGGATACGTCTCGCATATAAGTGTCATCTACAATATATTTTCTACTCCTTTTACAATTATCTTTGGCTGCAACGTGGATGTGATTCATTCCATTCACTTTATCCAGCACATATGCTATTCAATTGGAAGAACCCATTTGGATATTTGATGGAAATTAAACTTCAAGTAATATTCTGTTACGTCGGAGTAGATACGTTCATTACAATATCTGCCATACTATTGAATTCGGCATATTTTGTGGATGCCACGGTCTCTGACATGGTTTTGCAATTCGAAGAGTTGAACGATAAGCTTGTTGCTTTTGAACAAAAACTGACATTAACATGGTTCTAGCAATCAAAAGAAAATTGGCGGATATAATTAAATTCCATGTCGAAGTCAAACAGTTAAGTGCATTGAAGACATGTGCACATATCATCGTTGCACAACTAACAAATTTTGTTTAAATATTTAGATTTGCATACGATGTTTCCGATGTACTTGGTCCAGTAATAACCAATATTTTTACCATCTCAACATCAATAATGTGCGCTTCATTACTAATTTGTTATCATGTAAGTGTTTTTATCAATATTATCTCAAATGTTTAAACAAAAAATTGTGATTCTTCATTTCAGTCTTTTCTCAATTTTTTGTTAGACTATAGAAATTGGAGATCTAATTTACTTTATTCGTCCATTCATTGGTATAGTAACAACTGTGTTATGTCTGCTGTATTTCTGTTCGTGTGGCAATTATCTCACAAGTCGCTTGGGCAGCATTGATCGGTAAATTTATCAGATTTCATGGTATATAGCGACACCAAATACGCGAAAATATTTGATAATGATAATGGCCAATGCACAGAAACCGATTTTTATCAAAGGATTTTACATAATTCAGTGCACTTGCGAAGTATTTAGCAGAGTATGTTTTGATATAATTGTCTTGGTATCTTCTATTAAAATTTTCATTTTTTAAATATTATTTTCTCAGATGGTATATGCTACATACTCGTATTTCATGGTGCTACGCAAATTTGTTTAGTTTTTCAAAGGTGAAATAATCATGACAAATACATCGTTTGAACATCAATTTCAGTAAAATATTTGAAAAAGGTTGGAATTCAAATTATCTGGATTGAATTCCTTTTGAGATGTTATGTCATCATTTTTCTTTTAATTTGAATAATTATATGAAGTAAAGACCACATCTCGTTTTAGCACCTCTAGAAAGATATATTTATTTTGCACCAGCGAGAAGAACTCGCAACTCATAAAAATATTATATCTATATTAAACATCATTAAATGTTTTGTTCTTATATTCTGTAATATGAAAAAAAAAAATGAAACTAATATTAATTATTAAATATCGTTCATTGTCACATCGAGGTAATTTAATTGATTTACTAGTGATCTAATCGATTCAAAAGCGCTAAAACAAGGAGTGTATCATTTCTAATGATGTGAGATCATCAAATGCAAAAGTCCAAAGATGACAAACAATACACCTTTCATTTTGATTGATGCGTTCTTGAGGTTTCAACATTTTTCAAATTCATTTGACTCACATTTTTTTAATAAAAAAACATTGTCTCAATGTCAATTCATTGCTTTTAATGCGGTGTTTTCCTTCTCAGTGAACAGAAATCGGTTTCGAACCAAATGAACCGTGCAATCAATTGAATAAATTGGCTCTTGTTTCTTATCGAAGCCAAACCTTCGTTGAAATTCAATATTTCTGGGATCTTTGGCAGAGAACGAAACAAACGTGTGCCGCCACCGTTGACGTAACACATTTGACTATGACGACGGAATCAATAAAAACGCATACAATTCGTGGCATTTTGAAATGGGTTCCAATGCGTGCACACTCACGTGTCTCTATCTAAACGTTGAAAAATGCATTACGCATCGAATGTTTACATGCCATCCTCATGACTGCACAGTTAGTGCACTTTCGGTACGTTCGTTTGAACATTGACAGCCGCCAATTAAATGCATACAAAACAAACTACATAATGAATTTTAATTATGTGTTGTTATTAAAATGCTACTCTTTTATGCAATAATTACATTTCTACACGAACATTTATTTGAAAATGCTCAGCAGCTCAACAACAAGTCTATTGTTGTTTATACGGTTCCGTCTCAGTTCCAGCTGATTTCGAGAAAGAATTCCAATTTGATAGCATTATCATCTCGTGATTTGCCTACTACCCGATCGACTCAAAGCAATTCGTGTTATCTGTTGCGATAATTGCAATCAAATGTTTAGGAATACAAACACACTATATTCGGTTCCCAGTGTGAACAAAATAAATATTCAATTGCCGTAACTTATGTTGTATACTATATCGATGAGTAAGTTTTTTTTGGGTGTGTTTTCTTCATTATTATTCAATTTATATTCGCTTTCGTTCATTGTCCAACATGTTACACTCTTGAATTGCTTTCTTTTCAATAACAAAAAAAAATCATTCGAAAACTATTCAAATCGTTTGTTCCGATCATTTCTTTTGTGTGTGTTTCTTCCATTTTGGGTAAAACGTTTCAAAATTTGTATGAAAGATCTTCGAAATTGATGATGGAAAACCGTGAAAATGTCTGAGATTGTTCGTTTTTCTTCAAATGACCCGTCATTCGTTAACAGGCTGATTGAATATGCATCACATCAAACATCAAAATGCCAAAAATCAACATTTTTATGGCTCTGTTTGGATAGACATTTTTGATTTGTTGCTGCCACTGCCGCTGCCGCTGCTTTTGTTGATATTGGCAGTGTTGAATGATTGAATGAACGTAAAACATGTTCACAGCATGTAACAAAAAAATTCATATCAAAAAGTCCATATGTTATGCATTATTTAACAGGTACTTAAATGAAAGAGTGCACAGTGCGAAGCAAACCGCATAATTCTAGTACATTTAATTACCGGTTCATTGAACTGACTGAATTTATGTTCGATTCGAAATGAATTTTCACTGCATCGATTCGAATACGAACACCGACATAGACCGAACACAGACTGTGCTGCATACAGTGTTTTGATCGTTTGTTGTATTTTATTCTAAGTCTAAAATGTCATTCAACCAGACAAATCTATATATAACATCCGATCGATAATTGCTCGACATTTTTGAGGCGCGCGCGCGTTCGCTTTTCGCTTTCTCTCTAGCACTCCTAATGAAATTTGAATTTATTTCACTGCTGATAACGATGCTACTGAGTGCAACTTCATGTGCGGCGTCTTTCATTCGTCACAGCGCACGATGGAAATTCTAATTTGAGTATTCACATTAATCAACCGTTATAAATATTTTAAGCATACTTGAAATAGTCGAGAGAATCACAAGAAAAAAAATCCATACGTGAAAAAAATTCAACAGAATTACGTTGATAGTTCAAAAGACAAAAAAAAACGTGAAGCGAAACTCGACGCCAAATGAAAAGTCACAAGGGCAATTTTTTTATATGCGGAATATGACATCAACGATTAAAACCGTTCTGATTAAATCTCGAAATAAATAACCAGAAGAAATTTTTTTTTTTAATTTTCTAATCATAAATCGGTCGATGCCGACGAGATTTGAAAATATTTCTTTTTTTTCAGATTCACATTTTTTTTGCCTATTGTTTCATTCGTCATCATATGGATGATATATGTGATGGCATTTGGTTTGATCGCGAAAAACATGCAAACGAGAGAGAAGAAAAAAAATGAGCTTGTCACTGTGACAAAAGCGGTGACATTTTTCTATGCGTTCTTTTCAAAAACATTCGCATTTTGAGCTAAAAAACACGGTGCCAATTTTAAAAATATTTAGATGCGTCGAATGTGAGTGGAAAAAGCGTCTTGCCAAAAACAATTTATGCGGCCATTAACCGACGAGTCGTGCCGTTTGGCAACTTAAACCATGTAACAGAACCTTATTATTCGCACTTAGTATTTGTTACGTGAACCGAATTTTAAAATATTTTCTAACACAGTTTACGGTTTTCATTCCAAGAGTTTCATTCAAATATGCCACACGACGCGATGCGGTTTCATTTCCAAAAAAAGTCTTTTTTTCATTGTATTCAAATTAGCACTATTTATCACATATACGTAAAAAAAATCGATTTCGGACGATTACATTGTTTCAGAGACATTTTGAGGTTTTCAGGAAGAATAAAAAGGAATTGAAAACTTACACATAAAATCGGTGCACTGATTTGTGGTCGCCTATTTTTGCTTTTGCTCGAACACAAGCAATTCCAGGGCATTATTGTTATTTTCGGCTTGCGTTTTATTTGCTGTTGTTGAATCAAATTAATCCAATCGATTGACACATTTCTATTTGAGTGTTTGTCGCTTTAATTAGCCACGATTCACTTATTTCATCAACCATACTATCCAAATATGAATATATAATTATTTTTTTTTTATTCAGAAATTTCATTCGAAAACCATATGCCGGTAAACACGGGAAGGTGATTCACACACATAACCACTGCGCGATAACATTTTAACGATCTACAATGTCAAAATTACAAATTACAATTCGCGCGTGTAACTTTCATATTGTTTTGTTAATTAATGATGACGATTGTTCTCAATACGATGAATAATGCCATGTATCATCATCACACACTTGCGTAAACAGTCTTCAATTTTTTCGGTGCTTTTGTTTCAATATTTTTTATTTATCGTAAATTCATTGCATGGAGAGAGATAGAGAAAAATGTGTGTCTTCGGTTATTAATCGAACTAAATGTTCGAACTATATGAGGCACAAAACGAGCGAACAAGAGAACGAAAAAAATGTTTCGTTATTGTAAAATTGTAAGCTATCGAATCATAGAGAAATGTACTCTATGGAAAATACTGAATGTGAAAAAATAATAATAAATAAATATAAATCGTGTTGAAGCGTTTTCTTTCTGATACGGTGCGTCGTGCTATCCGTTCAGTGCAAACGTTGTCAGCACACTGAACATTCGACAACAACATATGAACCGAAGTGATCAAAACAAAACCTAGTACATAGAGAGTGAGTAGAATCCACACTGGCAATCAGCTTCATTGATTTATGTACATTGTTGTGCCTGTAAACACATTTTCGGTTCGTATACAGTGTGTCGTTTGCCATTGCGGCGCATAGTATACTATAAATCGAGCGGCGGGCATGTGTATGGGTGCCCGTGAAGAGTGTAGCGGCAATATGAACGAAAGACATGTACATAGATATAACGTAGTAAAATGCATTTGCCGCTGAATTTCCTTCTCCATTTCACCGCTCTGTCTCTTTTTCATCGTGTCTCTTCTCTGTCTACTTCTCGTGTATCATTCTATTCGCGTAGCCGCGTAGTTTTTACTGATTCGCTTTTTTTTACAACTGTTTACAAATGCTTCTCGCTTTTTCATTCACAAACGCACAGACCAGAATGCCTCCATTCAAACAGTTGCGAGGCGATAGCCATTACATGTATGCTCTTCACTCGCTGCTCCATCATGCATCGTACGTATTTACATTTATTTTCGCATCGCATTTTACTCGTGTTATCTTTATATATCACCAGACACGCCGAAATCATCATCTTCTTCTTTTTTTATTATTATTATTTTCTTGCAACGTCAAATCAAATGAAAAAAAAAACTAATACAAAGGCTGAAAAACTTTCAAACATTTATTGGCTCATTCAAAATGAATTATGACCGTAAGTTTTGCGCTTGAGCATTGTGACGAGGGCCGACTATTGTGGCTATAACTATTTTCCGTGATTTATTCCAACGGCTTCGATTGAATTGCCATCATTCTTTTTATGATTATGGTTTAAGCCAAAGACATGGCTGACAATTGCTTTGGTCGACGATTGTTTGATGCTCACATGCTTAAAACAGACATTCAATTCAAATACAGAACATTTTCGGCCAAGAAACTGGACGAGAAATGAAAAAAAAATGATGCGCAAAAAAACATCAACACTTAAGAGCAGAGGAATTGTACGTATATTCTTTTTAATGCGATGAGCATCTGGACAGTTGGTTTTAATTTATATGAATTGTTGTGTTTAAGCTGTTAAACGATGTAAATAAATGTAAACATTCGACAAATGTTCGACATAAAAATTAAATGAATTAAGCAGATTGTTTCGCACAGCAAAAAGAAACGCAACGCTTCAAGAGCATCATGTGAAATTTATGATACATTTTGAATGGGATAATTGGACGAAATCACTTTGTGAAACGGCAAAAATAAAGCAACAACGATTATTTTCACTGTATTTTTATCCATTTTAAAATGACTTTCTTCGACTGTTCAACAATTCCGTTCAATCAAAATTCATTGTTCGTACATGATGCAATTATTGTGTTTGCATTCTCGACTTTTCGTTTTTATGGCACGCAAATGCTTTCCATCCAATAAGCGAAAAACTTTAATTGAAATCAGTTTTCAATTTCAACATATTACTGCATGCGAAACAAGTTCCATTGATCGGCCGACTACTTTGTCGCAGCCGCTAATTAATTAAATTGATGCAGTGAATGAAAGGGAAAAAAAGTAGTTCGACGCAAAAACTAAAGTCAAATTTCGAAGGGATTCTGTCTCTCACCTCATTTAATGAAAAATCATTTAAAAACGGCACCAAGTGGTTACGCAACCATGCAAATGCATTAGTTTAATTGAAAAAATAAGACCCACAATATTAACAACTACAGTTGTCCGGTCACACCGAAAACTGACGACAAACACGCAACTCACTGTGTCTACGTCATAAATTATCTTCATTCTCGATATTTTCGTGAGCGCATCGAAGCGTAACCACTGAATTTATTGACAACGACTTTTCTCTGCAAACTAATGGATACAATAGAAAAAAACGCGATAAGTCTTGCATTTGTTGAATTGCTTTTATTAATTCAATTTTGGACATGCTTCCTGATTGTCATTTGGATGTACAATGTTGTCTATAACAGAAAATATTTCAACACAATTCTTAATCGATAAAGACAATGGTTATCAGACAATGAATGACAATGCGATTTCCATCGGTAGTCCTTTTTGGGCGTTGACAATCAATTCCATCGGGCCACTAAGTGCAACCAATAAATCATCCAGTTTTAGTACATTGTGAACGTATGCCTCCAAATCGCCAGCCATTTTTTGAATATTCTCCAAAAAATCATTTTTGAATTTATTTATTTCCACCAGAGGTTCGGTCTTCAATTGAATTTCCTTGATGGTGATAGTTAATTTGGTGACTTCGTCGGAAATGTTAGGCTTTTTCAATTCGGCCGTTTCAATGGCAGTTTTCGTGTCGTTTGTAGCAAATAACGATTTAATTTTATCGAAATTTTGCTCGGTGACAATAACAGCCCATTCAAGCCGACTGGGGTTTCCAAAGCAAAGAACTTGTTATACAGTAAAACCTGTCAATAACGGAATCCCACGGGGAATTTTTTTTTTCCACTATTGACAAGAATTCCACTATTCCCAGGTTCCATTAATAACAGGTTTTCATGCCAATTCAGAAATGATTTTCCATTATTGAGGGAAAATGTGAAAAAAAGAAGAAATTCATATATTTTCATCATTATATAGCTAGCAAAATTTTTCAGGGGATGATTTTAGAAGAAAATCCTAGAAATCAAAAGAATTTTTCGCATGGGAAATTCTAGCAAAAAGGGTATTCCAATCGGAAAAAATTGACTTCCAAAATACAGCTCTAAAATCCCTAGCAAATCGAAAGAATTTCTCTCGCGTTCCAAAAACCCTAGCAAATCAAAAGAATTTTTCCCAAATTTTTTCCACTATTGGGGGTGAGCGTTTTTTGCCGTTTTCCGTTATTAACAGGTCATTTTGTATGGAGATCTCAATGGTGGAAATTTTTTTCCACTATTGACAAGAATTCCACTATTTCCAGGTTCCGTTATTGACAGGTTTTACTGTATATAGTTATATTGTTAAATTATATGGAATGCCTGAGAAGTATTGATCGTAACGCTCGTCTGCCAAACGAGTTAGATTATCATGTAAATAGTCGCAAATGCAATTTGTGTATATTAAATAGGAATGAAGTTTTTGTAGTTTCAACATTTCGTCGTTATTTAGTACCAAAAAATGTACGTTTTTGCCAATGTTTGTAATTTCTTCCATCGAAAATTTCAATTTATTGCACTCAACAGACAAGAAATTTTTAATGTCATCATTTAAATCAAGCATGTAGTTTAGTCCATCTTTGTTGCTGGTGAAGTTATGAATCTCGTTTTCACTGAGATGTGGCACATCAGACGAATTACGGTGGCCTTCTGGACGACCGAAAACATGGTGAAGCAGCTTGTGAAGGGTAATAAGTATGAAAATTCATCGGAATTTATTTAAAATTTTGCAGTTTTTCTTTAGAAACTTACTGTGAGTCCAATGCAAAATAAAATATAAAAAAATTCATTTTCGAATTGAAATTTTCGTAATGAATGTTTCGAAGTTTACCTACGCACAGAAACATATAAACTAATGAGTATTTATAAGAAAATTGAACTTTTATTTGATCAATTTGCACGTGTTTGTGAATTTCAGCTCACAATCCGCAATACATTTTGTCAATAATACGCATTCTTATATTCTCGCTTTAATTTTTTTTAAAAACGAATGCCAAAGTACGAATATTGCTTTAACATGTGTAATTGTGAAAAAAAAAACTGAAAAACGCTATTCAGTAACTGTAATTTATTTGCGCATCTTCTATACATTTCATTAATATTGTATATTTTGTTTTCGTTTAATATTTCTGAACAATAGCAGTTACAATTTATCTTATTCATTAAACTTTGAGAAACGAAGCTGCGATTTCCATCGGAACCTCTCTTTGTACATCTGCCATTTCTTGTACGGCTTCCGTAATTTTATTAAAAGCATCGCTGTTATTGAACACTGGTACGATTGTTTTGAATATTTCCGCGCTTATCTTGCCGATTTCCGTAACATATGTAGTTTTGAGTTTTGCAATAGCATCTTCATAGCGCGGCTTCGATTCATATTGAACAATAGTATCAGTCAATTCCTTCAATTGCTTTTCTAAATCTTTAATTTTCACTTCAACCACTTTCGCCATTTCTTGTAATTGTGCGTCTGCAATGCATTTCTCAATGATGGCTTTGTTTTTCTCCGAATTGGCAATGTTTGAATTAAGCAGTTTATCCAAAAACATCGTTTGATTCGGCGTCAATTTATAGTTTGGCATGCCCACATAGTATTGATTATATTTTGAACGATCAAACTCTCTTATTTTATCTGTGAACATTACATACATATCATTGATGTACTTTGAATAAAGATACAAATGACCCATTGCTTTTAAATCAGCATCGGTGAGTTGCAGGAAAGAGAACACTTTCCCCAAATCAGTGACATAATTCATCGGCATCTTAATTCGATCAAATTGTTCGGTTATCATTTTTGTGACTTCGTCATTTAATCGTATCAACGTCGTCAATTTACCACTTGCTGTATTGGATTCTGTAACTGCTTTTGATGGAGATTGAACAGCATCTTGAGGCGCAACATCCGATGAAGATTGATTTGTTGTCCTCGACGACGTTTGAACCGTTGAATCCGAAAAAGTGTTTGGAAAACCCTCTGATGATGGAACTTGTTTCATCACCTCTGGTGAAGGGTCTTTTTCCTCACCTTTGCATAAAAATCCTGGGATCTTCGATAAGAAAAAACCTAGGAATAAACACTATTATCATATAAGATGGAAATTCTGAAAATCATACAATATAAAGAAAATTTTACACTTAAGCCGAATATTGACAATAACAAAATTCCAACGTATGGTTTCATAACGACACTTTTACAATGTTACACGTTTCCAGTTAAAAATGTTACTAACCGAATCGGCGACGATACAAACACTTTTAATATTGAATATCGAAGCTATTGTGAGTCATGGTGACTGGAAGCTTGTTTTCAATTTGGAACAAAATAGCAAGAACGTCTGTTTTACAGGTGGTTGCGCTGTTAAGTAATGGTGCCGACTAAAAAAATGTGCAAAATTAGAATAAAAATGACTAGATTTTATAGGAAAATCGGACTTTGTAGTCATAATTTCGATAGCCATGCGACAAAATAATTGTTTTATTTCAAGACACTTTACATATTTTAACTAGATTTATTGTAAAAGATACATCGTTTTTAGTAAACAAAGGTAGCAAATAGTCAATTGTGTAATTAAAGATTTGAACGTGTATGTGAATTTCAACTCACAATTCGCAATACATTTTGTGATTAATATTTACTTACACACTATAGCTTTCAGCTAGTACACTTTTCAATTTTATAGTAGCTTTCAATAAGAATAAGCACATAGCTCGTTATCAGAGATTTCTCTCACTATATGTTTCTATCTCCATTTGCGTTTCCATTACTTTTATTCAATCGAAAAGCAGATTTTATTCAATGATTTCACAAGTTTGTCTTCAATTTTTCGAACTTCATCAATTTCGTCCATCATCGGATTCATGAGGCTCTTTGTGATTCTTTTCCCGGTAATTGCATCCATTACACTTTTGGCGGCATCACGAAGATTTTTGAATGATTTTTCCACAATTTGTTTTCCCACGATATCACCTGTTGGCTCCATTTTAACTGATGTCATTTTTTTCTTCAAATTGAAAATTCCTTCTTTAATTTCATTCAATTTTTCATCAACATTTGAAATGTATTTTTCAATGTGTCTTCGTTTTCCGGATATTTTTGCAATCGCCTCTTCAATTTCAATATTTGCCGTACACATTTGCTTTTCAGTTAAGCTATCTGGATTTTCAAAGAAAAACACGAAGCTCTCAAATCTCTTGCCTAAGGGGAGACTCACAAAAGAAAAGAATCGAATTAATTTAAAATAATCGAAAAATAATTGTAAAACAATCAATAATTTGCCCCAATCTCTTACCGTTCGAGAAATGCCATTGCTGCATCAATTTTTCCTTAAGATTGACCGTATATTTTACATAATCCAAAAATATTTGCGCCGATTTTCGATCGTCTTTGCTTAGGCTCATTTTGTTAACCATTTCACGCCACACTACAACGCAGTTTACATCCAGCGAAAATGTTTCCACGACAGCCAATGAAAGATTATGAACATTATATTGTTCCACAGTTAAACGGATGATTTTGTCAATGCCATCTCGGTGCTCTTGACAATTGCCAAATGCAAAAATTAAAACAAACACAAGACACAATTTCATTTTTGTTTTTTGGGGAGGTTGTGTTAAGACCAGCAAATAATATAATAACAAATACGGATTGAAGTTCTTTTTATACAGCAATGGTATCGAGTGAAAAAAAAAAATGATTTCGTAAATTATCGTGAAGATGTTGAGATCTACAGCAAAGATAACCGCAAAACCAATTCGAATAGATAAAGTTGTAAACACAGTCGAGCACAAAGAAAGATTTCAAACTTGAGAGAAAAATAAAATCGATATCTCTCAACGAAATGGTTTCATAGACGATTTTTTTCAAAATTAATCGCGATACTTTAAGTGCCATACTTGATTGATAACAAGACTGCATTGTAAACAATCTTTTGGAGAAGCAATAAACAACGTGTAGTCAAAATCGATTTTCTTTCTTCTCAATATAAATAACATTGTCTTTAAAATTCAACGGCTTCTTCTCTTGAATGTGAAAACCCATCTCGAATTTGATTTCAACTTAAAATTACACTCAAAACGTAGATTTGAATTAGATGTTTCAAAGCGCCAATGCCCCGATTTCGTTTAATCAATGGATTTGTTTAAACGATCATTTGAATCGAGCCAAGTATGCACAATTTAAATGATAGAAACTAGTTTTTGTGTGCATTTTCTGATTAATTGGTTGGCATTTAGTGTTGGGCATGGTGAAAGAAAAGCCATGATTTTCATGCATTCTTCCATTTCTTCAATTCTTCTCGCGATGGTTACATTTGAATTTCTAAGTCGAAACCAACAGAAATTGAGAATGTTCATCGAAATGATTTTAATGGGCGTCCATAATTACAGTTAATTCAATGTATAAGCGAACGTTTAATTTGATTTCCAACATCCCATAAATCTTACTTAAAATAACACAAAAGTCTGTAATCAATAAAAATGCAAAATGCTTTGATCTCAATTTTTTTCTTTCTCCTCTCGACTCTCCGTTGATTGCACCGAAAAATGCATATCTATCAACAACGTTTTGTTTAGCATCAGGCACTCGAATTTTAGATAAGAGTCTTAACGAATGAAAGAGTGTTTAAAACATTTGGAATGGAGCTAAAACCAAACAGATATGCAGAATATTGATTTGCAATGGACGAGAAAAAAAAGTTTCCAATTGTGGTCTATGATTTTATTCCGAGATGTTTTGCTAAAACAAAAATATTCAATTGGTCTCTATCTTTCGCAGAAGCAATAAGAACGAATGGCGCATTTATTGCTTATTGAAACTTCGCAAGCCTTTATCGCACGATGTAAATACGAAATTATAGTCGGCGATTGGTCGGAGTAATAAAGAAGTCGAAATCGATGTGAATAGCATTTAAGTAGAATGTTTGCTTGTTACAATCGCTATTGCTCAATCAATACAAATAAAGGCGAATAAATGCACTAATCGATTTATTATTAAAGATGAACAAGCGAATACAACACACTTCAATCAAAATATCATCAAAACATCCATTGATTCGAATAAATAATGGTATAGACGATAAAAAGGTTATATTGTTGCAATAGACAATAGACCTCTCTCTCTCTCCCTCTCTGTCTCCACTCTCGTCTGTGATCGAACACACAAATTCCAGTTTCAACGGCAAGAGAAAGAAAACGAGAAATGATTTTTATTGCATCGGCTGCTGCATATGAGAGAAATAAAATGACGATTTGTTGTTTTTTGTCTTTTTCTTCTTTCTCTCTTTCATGAAATTTCTTCCATCCTTTTATAAATACGATTCAGACCTATTTGAACTTTATCATTGCCGCACCTTTGTTTCAACCATCCGCGTGTAGAACATTATAAATACTATTTAGTTTAAATAGCAAACGTATTGAATATCATAAATACGTTCAATCGCATAATGTGTCTCATAAGAACTTTCTCATATATGTCTCCTTCCTTCTTAATGTGTGCCAGTTTGTCTCGCTGTGTTGTCTCTCAACACAAAACAAGCTCGAGCTGGTTTTTTTGGTGAACAAAAAGGATCGAAATAATCTTTGTCGAGCGTGTAGGTGTGAAAGATTTCTTCGTTTCTTTCACATTCAAAGCGAATTCCAATCGTACAGCGTAGACAAAGCCGTCAATTAAAATCCGGCTCTGGTATGAAATATACACTTCTATTGCAGAAGGAAATATAATATGACTTCTTTTACCATACTAACATGGTAAACCATATTTACGTTGTTGACAAGATTTAGCACGTAAATAAATGCTTATAAAATGGAAATTTCAATAAAAACTTAATTAATGACACATATATTTATATTTGAATTGCCAATAACTTAAATAAACTTATGCTTTGCGTGTGAACAAGTATTCTTTACTGACCACCATCAAAGTTTTTGTCTTCTTCACCGGTGAATCGTTCGAAAGATGGAATGGAATGAATGCATCACATCATTTTCAAATAGAAATGAATGTGGACAGAAAAAAAAGTCGACTTTCTCATCAACGGCAATAATCATTTATTTTTATGAATATTTCCAATTACTTCATTCGAATTTTGCTTTATTTTCAAAGACAATAATAAAAAACACCAACCCATTTATGTTGAATTGATGCGTGCATCAAACCGTTATCCAATTTGTTGTATCTTTGGTGTCATCGCATAACTAGAGTAAATCACGCAAGATCATAATTTAATAATACACCCAACTGAGAAGTAAAATCGATGCCGAAACGTTTTCGAATATATATTTTTCAAATTGACAACATTTGCGCTAATCGACCGCGCACTATCATCGACGAAGACGGCTCGGTATATTGAAGGGGACCTAAATTATGAAGAGGATTCAAGTTTTGTAAATAAATCCATTCCATCTACGGGTAACCATTTATTAAAAAAAAAAAACAAATTGCACTTTTTTCGCATAGATAATTTTTTTTTGCCATAGCCGAATGGCTGAATCAAAATAGCAAAATCAATAAATTACTGCCTGCAGAGTGAGTTATGAAACGGAACCTCTATCAATGTGCGTTTTATTGGCACGATCAATGCACATCGTACTCTACGTCAAACAGTATTATTTGTTACTACAGCGTTACTGTGCCACAGATGCAACACGTATCTTTTACATTTCTTTCATTGCATCTCTTTTTCACTCTCTTTGTACATACAACAAAACGGCGTGTTGCATTTTTGATTCCCCTTTAGAGTCGGGATCATCACACAGAAAATTCTTCGTCGTATATATTTACAATTAAAATTGATTGCTGTAGAATTGACCTTTAACTTTTGCATCACTTCTAATACGGCATAAGAATCCGTGCATATGTTGTTGATGCAACATTCGATGCAATACCTCTTGAAAAGCAAACAGAAAAAAGTGGTTTTAAGTCCATTTTCTCACACCGGCGAGACAAATGATGTTCGACGTTGTCTTTTGGTTACTTTTTTTTAAATTACCGAACAATTGTATGTTTGAAAGCAATACGACATCCGAAAAGGGGAAATCAATTTGTTGTTACATTATCGTCATTCGATTTTGGGCATTCATTATTCGTTCAATGTACGTGAAAATGAACAGAAACATTAATTATTTATGGAAAAAGAGAATGAACAGCAACCACTTTGGTACGGCTAAAGAAATGACGATGGCATTCGATTTCTAGACAATTTTATTTTTTGTTTCACATTGTTTTTCGATCTGCTGTTGTGAGCAAAACAATAAAAATTTCACTCAAATTGATCTTATAGAGACATCTAATGGCAACTAGTCTCGATACATATACAACAATTGAAAAAAGATACTATAATCAATGGTATACCACAAAATTATCCATTGAAATTGACGGCGTTCGCGTTGTTGTTGGTACAGTTAGTTGGGCATACGGATACGCAGAACCGAGTTTTCACATTTGATATTCGATCTGCTGTTGTTAGCGAAAACAATGAAAATTCCACTCAAATAGTTCCTATGGAGACATCTAACGGTGACTAGTTCTAATCAATATGCAATGATTTTCTTTAACTCGAAATCTATTTCGAGAACGACGTTCAAAGCAAACAAAAAACCAATTAATCACACATAGATATGAATTTTATTGAAAAAATATTTGTCAACATAAAAATCTAATGGTAAGCCATGTCATATATGGACTATGTGGCTAGTTATTATTATTGGATATAACCGTAAAATCGGGATATAATCGAAATGCAGCTCGACTTTGAATCAACCCCATTGGGACCGGACCGTACGTGCGCGAATCAATCGAATTTTCGCTGTTATCACCTTCAAGCCATAAATGTCCCTTTGGTACGATTATCACTTGACTGCGAAATGTTCTCATGGCTGAGTCTTGATTGTTAATGTGTTTTGATTTGTCCGTATTGAATGCATTTTCTTCTTCGGCATCAATGAATGGCATGATGTCTTTTAGTTCATCATCTTTGAATAATGGTTTAACTTCTGATTTAGAGGTGCCAAATGGATTAAAGCTTATGCGAGGTTTCATATAAATTTTGTCACCAGGCAAACCCACAACTCGTTTGCACACCAACATTTCTGGATCGATCGGACTCTTGGCAATAACAATGTCACCGTGTTCATAGATCTGTAATCGTTTACTGATTCGTTCAGTAAGGAGGATACTATTTGGTGTTATCGCTGGTTCCATCGATGGTCCACTTGTCTAATGGGAAAATGAACGCAATCAATTTTGTTTAAAATCGATAAAATTGTGTAAATTTACCGTAACCAAATTGGCCAAATACTCAAAAACACAGTGTCCAATACAACCGGCTTGCACCATGGCCATAAACATAAATTTCGTGTTTGGCACTGTCTTAAACATTTTGTAAAATTGTAAATTAAGAGACTTGAAACCGAGAAACTTTCCATTCACATATTTTTATGGAAAATATATTCTTGATTCTGCCTGTGGCTTGAATAGAAGAAAAACCAATAGCAACAATGAAAAAAAAACTTTCAGTCAAACTGACGTTCGACGAATTGTCAAAAACATGTGAAGAGTTACTGATTACATGGGAATTAAACGCACTCACTTATTTATCAGTTTGAAACAAAACAAATACAATTTGACATATGAGTTGTCATCGTCTTAATTGGTTTTCAGTGCAGAACATTCACAAGGTATAATTTTTTGTTGGTCATCATCATGTTTGTTGTTTGACGTGAAATTTAATTCATTTTTATTTCGTTTCTTATCAGCCCATCAGTCTATAATTATCCAAAGTCGTGAATTATCGATAAATTTATAGACGGTTTCGTTCGAAATTAGGTGAATGTAAATCGAATTAACTTGAGTTTGGAAAGTAGCCATTAGGAACTGACACAGTGAAAGTGTAAAAAACATGGATTCGTCAAATCCATTTTGTAGTTTATTTGGCAATGAAACGACTGCCAATACACAAGCTCAGCAGACAGCGTCAAAGATAAATGCAATGGAACAAAAAATCAACGGCCTCATTGAGCACATTTTCTCCATCACCATCAATCGAACACCACCGAAGAATAAGCAATTAGTTTTCATGGAAGATTTGGCCGCAGTAAATGCTGAAACAACAGTCATGAACATGGAAATATTGGAGCAAGCACTGTTTGAACGTTTATTGTTGGGCAATCCACGCGATTACCTCATACCAAATAATACGCAAAACGATGAAACAAATGACATTGCCGAAGATAAAGTGATTTTATATCTTTATCGATCCTATGAGCGTCTGTCAAAATGGTGCCACAATCAAAATAATTCATCGTTGAATGCAGAATGTGAAACAATCAAACAGTTGATTTTACGTAATGCAAGCACAGCACAAAAACAACCAGAACTGTATGACAATCAATCGTTGTCCGAACAATGGTTGAGCCTTTTCCGAAATTATCAGGACGAATTCGAGTGTAAATGTGAATTTTTATCGAAAATTGTTGCTGACGTTGCTGGAGATAATGAACCCACGTATATGGAATCACTTCGTAACACGTAAGTTCATTGAATTGGGGTTATCGTATTTTAGCGAAATTTTTTTTTGCAAAAAATTGCTTTTTAAGTTCTTTACTTCAAGAGGAATTGTTCATGGTAAAATTCTGCATTTTTTCCTTTTCAGTTTCGATGATGTATTTTCAAATTGTTTACGTTTGGCGAAAAGTGCAACTTTGATCACATTGGAAAAATGGGTTCTATACACACTGAAAGCATTCGTTAGCGATAAAACGAATGCGATTCTGGCACAATTGCTGTTGAATTACACGACACCGAAGGCTCGAGTGGCTGGCGGAAAAATCGAGGGCATTCAATTTTCTGAAACTTTATTGGGGGCATTGTTGTCGCTATCGATTTTACCCAAATCTCATAACGGACCGTATGAATACTTTGAAAACATGGCTGATGCACAGTCAAGTTCGTTATCAAGTTCGCTTGGAAACTACTTGACGTTGCATTTGGATGAATTGCATGCCATTGTCAAGGGGTTCCTACTGGTCGGTGGTGAAACACGTAATCAAATGCTTGAATGGATTGGATTGTGTTTGCATTCGAATGCTGCACGCGGACAAATTTGGAACGCACATAATCCGGCTGCTATGTTGGGTGCTGTAAAGGTTGTTCCCGATTCATTTATGATTGGGCTATGTGGTGTACTGCTTCGACTGTGTAAGCCATTGTTACGGCCAAACTTCAAGGTACTTTACACAACTTTCTGTCGAAGGTTTTTGGTAATTTATTTGATTTATTGTAATTTTCCAGGTACGTGATGTTGATCCCACATATTTTGCGGTTACAGAAGCCGATCGCGATGCAAAAAGCGTCCATATGCATTCGATTCATCAGGAAACGTGTTTAATTCCAGCGCCCGATGAAAATCAGGCGCGAAAAACAGCTGATACGTATAATTTTGTGACTGAAGTGTTTTACATGACACACAAAGCAATCGACATGGGATATCGGGTGTGCATTGAAAAATTTTCACAAATGAATCGTGAAATGGCACGACTGCAGGATTTATATCGTGATGCGGCCACACAAGGTGGATCCGAAGTGGCACAAAATGTCATGGACGCACTGAAAACTCACATGCCAAAATATCTGTGTCTACAAAAGACAATCAACGAACCAACAAACGATCAGTACCTGCTGCAATTCTTTGAAGCAACATCACTGTGGTTGACACGATGCGCATCACGAATACCCGATCCCGAAAATCCAAGCAATGAAATCATCGTAAATGATGTGAATTTACCGATTGAAACGCCGGCACCACAATGTTTATCATCCATTCCAGAATTTTTGCTTGAGAATATTGTCGTTTATTTGACATTCATACAACATTTTGAACAGCAAACCATCGATACCGATTTGGATACACAACGAAGCATTTTTACCGTTTTACTGTTATTCATGGGTGACATGAGCCGTGCACGTAATCCACATTTGCGGGCACGATTGGCCGAAGGATTGGCAAGTTTTTTGCCAAAGAAATGCACATCGTTTAGTTGTAGCTCAAAGTCACATTTGTTCACACAACATCCGCATCGTCTTGAAATTGTGCCGAATTTGCTGAGCGTTTTTGTTGGCATTGAAATGACGGGTCAAAGCGTACAGTTTGAAATGAAATTCAATTATCGTCGTCCAATGTACCAGATCATGGAACATCTATGGGAACTTGAAGAACAACGGCAACGTTTCCGAGACATGGCCTTGTTGGCACTCAAACACATGGAAGATGTGAATCCACCATTGTTCTTACGTTTCATCAATCTATTGATAAACGATGCCATATTCTTGCTCGATGAATCGCTATCGAACCTACAGCAAATTCGTCAATTACAAGTTGCCCAAGACAATGGCGAATGGAACAATCTACCGGCCAACGAACGGGAGCAAAATCGTGCCAATTTGCAACACGTTGGTCATATGGCCCGGTTGTACAATGTACTTGGTCGTGACACGATCAACATTTTGAAACTCCTCACATCCGCTGTTCCCGAGATTTTCGGACATTTAACGATGGTCGATCGCGTTGCTGCGATGTTGAATTACTTCTTACTAAATTTAACGGGACCCAATCAAGGCAATTTCAAGGTAATTTTCAGCATTTTTTTCGGTGAAGGATGCAAACTAATTTGCTTTGTTTTAGGTCAAAGACAAAAAGGAATTTGAATTTGATCCATCGAAAACGGTGTTGGAAATTTGTCAAATTTACATCAATTTGGACCAATGTGCTGGTTTTCGCTTGGCCGTCGTTTCGGACGGACGCTCGTATTCGTCAAATCTATTTGAATACGCGCAAAATGTACTTGGTTAGTATGATTTTTCAAATACAAACATATTTGATATTGATTTAATCATTAAACATTTCATTTTTTTACGCAGTAAAAATTGGTGGTGGTCAATTGGTTGGGGAAATATCCGATTTTGCGGGAAAAGTTAGCCAAATGGAAGAGCAAGAAAAGGAGAATCAAAAGGCACTAGAAGATGCACCCGATGATTTCCTCGATCCAATTATGTCGACACTTATGACGGATCCGGTGATTTTGCCGAGCTCAAAGGTGACGTGCGATCGCACAACCATCGCTCGTCATCTTTTGTCGGACCAAACGGATCCATTCAACCGCGAACCACTCACGATGGATCAAGTGAAAAGCGACACAGAGCTGAAGGAGAAGATCGATGCCTGGATTCGTGAGCGAAAAAGTCATAAGGCCACTAAGGAAGAATAAAGACATTTTTTTTCGTTTAAAATTGAGCTTGAAGCCAACATTGTTAATAAAACAATATCAATTTATTATTTAAAAAAAAAAAAAACACAACCGAAAATGTGTTGCACTTAAGTCAATAGATTTAAGAATAATTTAATTTCAGTCAATAAAACTGTTGAATTTAAAAATCGGAAATAAATAAAGTTATTTATGCGTTAATTTGGAAAGGGAGCATAAAATGTTTTCCGAATTGAATTGAGTTTTAGACTTTTGGATTCATTTGATTCTGACACCCTTGCTCCATCAATAGAATAAAGGTAGTATCATCTATCATATTTGAAGGGCTGTAAAATTTTAAATAGAATAAAAATCGCATCTTTAAATTTAACTGCCAAAATATTTTATTGTTCAATAGCTTTTTCGACCTCATAAGAACCGACAAAAATTATGCATAACCACCTAAAATAATCACCCTTAATTTGCCTATATAAAATTGTGTTCTCCATATTTTGTTCATAAAAATTATTTATGTTGACCACATATAGAAATAAGTTTTTTGCCATTGTGGAATGTATTCAAGCAGTGGTTGACAGACAGTACTGCTGAATGGTATGGTGCATGCAATGGCATTGATAAGTGCGTTTAATTTGTGTTGTGTGAACTTCTCATAGAATGGAGATCGTATGACATACAACAGTAGCTGTATTGTACGGCGTGATAGTTCAAGACGTTGTTTTGGTGACAGGGAGCGAATATTCTTCTTATACATATTCAAACTGGCCAAATCAATGAATAATGCTACACTGTAGCTCTTCCAACTATTGATGCCGAAAATGCCAGCACTAGTGAGGTGAATAATTGGTTTCAATATGTACAGCGTTTCGGCGCTGTTGAGACTCTTGTATTTTACAATCGGAACGCTCGGAACGCTGGTTGGTACATCGATTTTATCTGGATCCAATGGTTTCCATGAACGCAAGTAAACCGGTGGCGATCCTTCTACTTTGCGTACAACACGGCCGGATCGCTTTAATTTAAAGGTGAACGTTGAATTTGCGGCATCAAACATTTCCGGCATTGATTCATCCGATGATGTTTCGGCGATTATTTTATCAATATTTTTCCGATCCAATGCAACAATTGGTGGATTTTGTGTGATTAATTCGTGATGGTAAAATTTCAATACAAATCGCCCGATGCATTTGGCAATCTGTACAATTGTGATGAAAATCCAACGTCCACGTTCGCCCCACAATTTTTTTGCCGATAGCTCAATAAATACTTCACTGTATTCAAGTGTGGTTAGCAAAATTTTCAAACGATATTTGGATCGATCACTTGAAATACAAACGCTCTTTGATTTTTCAATGATTCTATCATTGAACAGCACCAATAAATTCGAAAGTGTGTAGATCAATTCAGACACAATTGTTGAACTATTCACACGACCTGCAATCATAGAGAATCAATGGTAGAGCACAATTTTAAGATGAATTAAGAACGTTTGCAGTACTTACCGACCAAGAAATATGATAACCATTTTACGGTGGTCTCAACGTCACCCACAGTCGATGGATTTGAGCTCACCCATAATTTATATGATTCATATAAATCGGGTAATTTGGCCACTATATTTGACATTGTTTTAAATTGATAATGCGCAAATTCAAAACTAATCCAATTTACATTTAGTACAACGATAACTTTTTAATCGTGACAAAATCACAATCTAACATCCTCCTTTTTCTTGAATTGAAAATACGCAGAAATGTCGTCGAATCAATGGAACTGAATTAAAATGGTCAGAAAATGTTAATAAAATTCATTAATGTTTCGTTTCAATTTGTTTGACAGATAAGCGCATGTTGCTCACGAACGTAGCGTGAATGTCACGAACTAACAAAGAGTACTTGTTGTGTATGAATATTTTGAACCAAGTAAACAGAATACGTCTGTCATTTAGACACTTTGCACGTACCGTGTGAAACATAAACATTTGTCGTTTGTATTTTATTTATTGTATTGTGTTCTTTTTTTTAAATTATTCTACCGCAAGTGTCTTGAAAAGTGAACCATGGCATCCAGAAAAAAACTCTTCGAAATGCTCAATCGAGTCAAAATTGAAGAAGAACAGCATGAAATATCAGATATATCAACAAATGCTTCAAGCACGGTACTGAATGTTTGCTGAAATCAATGCACCTACCATTTATTCCATTGAAATTATGAACGTTTACAAAACAATTTCCATACAAACTTTTAGGTGAGCTCCAATGTTCAAAGCGGAGCTGGTCGTGGAAGATTATTTCGATCTGATCTATTAGATAAGCCGATTAACGTGGTCACAGATAACTCAACGAGATCCAATACACCATCCGACTCTGGAAATGTCTCCGGGGCCAGCAGTGAATCGGCTGGTCTAAATGCGCTTGAAATAAAAGCAAAAAAACGAGGAGACAATGGTAAGAATGACATCATATAGATGACATTTTTTCTTAGTAAGTGGCCTAATGACTTTGGAAATAACAACAAATGATTTTCAGAGAAAATACCGATATCGGCAAAATGTTTATTTATTTATTTATTTATTTATGGAATATATTAAAATGTTGATATTTGTTTAGATAAGACTCTCCATTCAAGTTTTCTAGTCGTCGAATTTTTTAATGAAAATAAACAATCGCGCTTAAGCATATTTTCTGCTGCAAATTTAAACAAATCAATTACAACAAGTTGTTCATGAAAATAATCTAAATTGAAGCACGACAGTTTGTGTGTGTGTGTTTTTTTTTCTCTCGATAAATATTTGAATGTGGGAGAATTATTGAATTTATGAATATTTTTGTTTTTAAATTGTAATTATTTTGAGCACATGCGTAAGTTATTGGAATGGCATGCATCTCCTTTCAATTGTTGTTGATTTTCGGTGAAACGATGAAAAAATGTTGGTTCTGCACGGATGCTACATGTGAATGCTAAATGTGAACGAGAATAGAAAATCATATACAAAAAAATGAGTTACTGTTGCTATTTTTTCCTTCATTTTGAAATTGAACGAAAATTAAACGGTAAATACGTACCAATTTTAAGCGGTTACTTTTTGTTTCGATTAAAACACACACTGATGTGCCTATCAAATTGGACTCTGGAACTTTCTTTTTTATCAAATACCGTTTTACCAAAACGTCGACATGAGCAGCACTTCATTTTTTTTCGAAACTCGTTTACATGTTTAATGTGATCTAGCTGGTTTCCAAAGTCGATCCGGCAAATATGGCATTCGTTTTTACCGAAACAACCTTCATGTTTCGACACATTGTCAAACAACTTTCCGCATTTTGTACACTGTTTCTTTATGGGATTGGGTCTAGTTTCATTGAAATTCGGTGCAATGGCCAATTGCCGAGGTGGAATTATTATTGTTTTATTGGATTGGTAATCTTCTGTTGTGTTTTCCTTTAGAAGTTTGTAAGCTAAGTCAGTCTTCATTAACTCAGCACGAATTTCGTTTCGGTCCATTTTGTGATTTAATATTGCTATTCGTTGCTGTGATACTCGCTACTGCAGCACAATGATTTTCACAGTTTTACATGAGGTTACATAAAAAGATGAAAAAAGTGTGCATTTTAGTATAGCCATCTAGATTTAGTACATATCTCATAGTGTTGGTGTTTTCAAACTTTGTGGTGAATAGCTTGATCGTTCTTGGAAATGATTGATTTAATGACGTTTATTTTAAGCAAAACATAGCGTTCTTTTTTCCATTACAAAAATATATTATTTATTCACAGCATTTGATTATTCATTTGTATCATTCAAAAATGTTATACAAAATAGTTCATTCTAACGTCGGTTGTTAAAAATAAAAATGTACTAATGCTTGTATTTCATTTGCTTTATTCAATTGTATCAGGTACCCCGATTTCCTTAGCCGTAAACTACATTTCAATCTCATGTAAACCGGACATATCAATTTTCGAGTATGAAGTTAGCTTCGAGCCAAACATTCATTCAAATAAAATTCGTCGTGGTTTATTGGCCGGTGTAATAAAAGCTGTGATGCCTGTTTTTACTTTCGATGGAGTGTCATTATATTTGCCTCAAAAATTCCCAGATAAAATAACAAACTTTCGAACAAGTAATCGTACCGATAATATTCCAGTCGAAGTGGTCATAACGTATCGGCGCCAAAAGCCGATGAAAGAATGCATCCATTTCTACAATGTTCTCTTCAAGCAAGTCATGCTAAAATTGGAATATGTGCAATTTGGAAAGAAAATGTTCGATCCAACGTGTCCAAAAATAATACCGCATCGACAGGTAGCGACAATCGATTTTGTATGTTTCTATTTCCTGTTTTAATGCATTTTTCCTTTTGTTTCGAATGTTAGTTGTCAATTTGGCCGGGATATGTCTTTGCTTGTGACGAATTCGATGAAGGTTTAATGCTACAAGTGGATACGTCGCATCGTGTTTTGTTCGATACCAAAGTGTCGGATATTTTGCGAAGAATTCAAATGAGCTGCCAACAACATCCTGGACAAAATTTCAAAGATTTAGTTTTGAAAAGTCTTATTGGTACTGTCGTCCTGACTCCATATAATAATAAAACATACACTATTGACGATGTGGATTTTACACAATCGCCCATGAATACATTCAAAGTGGCCAACGACAAAGAAACGACATATGTTGATTACTATAAAAGGAATCATGGCGTTGATATTCATGATCATGACCAACCGTTGTTGCTATCGTATAGAATGCGAAAAATGATGGCCAAAAATGGACACGTTCAAGAGGAGCAGACAACCGTTTGTTTGATTCCAGAACTGACTCAAATGACCGGATTAACCGATGAAATGAGAAATGATAGATCGGTAGGAATTATCACCTTTTTTCCATCAGCAATTTATGTTTTACAGATAGATTTCTGTTTTAAAACCATTCCATTTTCTCTCAATGTTTGTTTTTTTTTTCTTCAAGGTAATGCGTGACCTGGCATCAACCACAAGAATGAATCCAAATCAGAGAATCGAAGCTGCACAAAAGTTTATTGAAAAGGTTAATCAAACACCGTCAGCCAGAGAAGTGCTGGACAAGTGGGGATTGCGATTAACAGATGATATATTGAGAGTCCAAGGTCGTCAATTGCCTGCAGAGGCAATAAAATTCGGCAATAAAATTATTGAAAATGTTAAGGGTGACTTTGGCAATCAAATTGGCAATGCAGTACTATTTGAAGTTGTTGACTTGAGTGAATGGATGTTAATCTATACGCGACAGGACACAAAATACAAGGAGGAATTTCTCGACAATGTCAGGTACGAAATTTGAACTGAGAAAAAAAGTTATCACATTTTGTCAAACAACCCGTATTTTCAATGAGTAAATAATCAAAATTGCATTTACAGACGATGTGCTGGGCCGATGGGCTTGCGATGGAAAGACCCTATTCAGCATATGCTTAAAGATGATCGAACCGAAACCTATGCGGTCACATTGCGCAAGCATGTTCATCCAAATCTGCAAATGGTTGTATTCATTTGCCCAACTTCCCGTGACGATCGTTATGCAACAATTAAAAAGATTTGCTGCGGCGAAAGACCCGTTGCATCACAAGTTATAAATTCCAAAACTTTATCAAACCAAGCAAAAAATCGTTCGATCGTTCAAAAGATATTGATGCAAATGAACTGTAAATTGGGCGGATCGTTGGTAAGATGAACCCTTTCTCAAAAACACATTTTACCTTTTAAAGTGAGAATTTTATTTGATCTTCCATTTCGACATCCACAGTGGACCATCAGAATACCATTTAAAAATGTAATGATTTGTGGCAGCGATACCTATCATAATCCAAGTAAGAAGGAAAAATCCGTATCTGCATTTGTTGGATCACTCAATGCGACATACACAAAATGGTATAGTAAAGGGGCAAATCACTTAAAAATTACTTATTAATTAGTATTGATTGTTTTACGATTATTTTTCGATTATTTTTCGATTATTTTCCGATTACTTATCGATTATTTTAAATTTTATTCTTTTCTTTTGTGATTACCCCCTTAGGTATAGTAAAGCAACAATCCAAGCAAGTCGCGAAGAACTCTCACATGGTCTAGCCATTTCTGTGGAAAAAGCATTGATGGCATATAAAGAATACAACGGGGTTTATCCCGACCGGATTGTCATGTATCGGTACGTTGAACCCTTTCTTAAAGACACATTTTACCTTTTTCGATAATTTTATTTGATCATCCATTTCGTGATTCTGTTTAAATTAGTGACGGCGTTGGTGATGGCCAATTTGCATTGTGCAAAGAATTCGAATTCATACAAATAAAAAATGCGTGCCGTTTGATTGACGCCAACTACAATCCATCAGTGACCTTCATTGTCGTTCAAAAACGCGTCAACGCTCGAATTTTTGCGGTAAACATTTTTTTTTTAGTTTTTCATTTAATTATTTTGACTATGTATTTCATCCGGTTTTAGGTTGACGAGAGGAGAAATGATTTTGAGAATCCGCCGCCTGGATGCGTTTTGGATCATTCTATAACTCGTCGTGGATTATTCGATTTTTATTTGGTGTCACAGCAAATGAGACACGGCACAGTCACACCGAGCCATTACGTTGTAATCGAAAATGAATGCCAATTAAATCCCGATATTCTGCAACAATTGTCATACAAACTCACCTATCAGTACTTCAATTGGCCGGGCTCAATTCGAGTTCCAGCGCCTTGCCAATACTCGCACAAGCTGGCATTTTTGGTTGGAGAATCCATTAAGCGAGAAGCATCCGAAGAATTAAACGAAAAACTCTATTATCTGTGAACATATCGACCACCATTTTTTCCATTGCTCTCATTTTCATTTAAAGTGATGTTTTTTTTTTCAATATTTCCTCCTGTTTTTAATTGAATGATATTTTTGTATAGAAAGGATGATAGATTTTAATAATTCTTTATTTTTCTGTATAAATTGACGTTTATATAAATAATGAATAAAAAAAATTGTGCGCTCGTTGTAAGAAAATTAATGTTAAAATAAAAAAAAAATAATATAATCAATAAAAAAAAAATAAAGAAACAACCATTATTGATGAAATGAAATAGTATAAATACAAAAAGTAAAAAATTGAAGTATTTTTTTCAAATCGTTAAAAGAGACAGTGTGAACACGACCTTAAAGTATACTAGTGTGCTAATGCGTGTGTGATTTTGACATTTCATTTCGTGCATCACTCACGACCGATTATGAGCACACTTCAAGGGTATAAACAGTGCGTTCCGTCTCTTTTTGGCACATGCTATATGTTAGGATGTCGCTCGTCTGTAGCCGAAGTTTTGCAGAATACAACGACAATGCGCACAAATACATATGCAATCGACTCTATGGCTGCTACAAACGCATTTATATGCTTGACCGCCATACACATTTACTCGTGTGTGAATCCGATTTTCTTGACTGTGGGGCATGATTTTCGATTTTCAATCAATCGTGTAGTCTTTTTAAACTATTCGCAAGAGAAAAAAACCTTTTGTTTTGAACTCATAAAACTTCAAACACATTAACCGGAACGGTGTTAAATGTGTGAAGAACAATAAGAGACACGCGATAAATATCTAGTGCATATACTACAACGACAGTGTGGAAATATCTAGTTTTTTTTTTCTTCTTCGTTGAACGAACGACCGAGAAAATCGAGCGTGTGTATTTTACCGAAAATGCCTTCGAAAGATCCTTTGCCGCCAAAAGAAAGTGCACTGTTCAGAAAAATACTGGTAAATTACTTTAATTTATTTCAATTTCAATAATCGGCGTGAAACGAAAACGGTGTATTGATTTTAATGGCCATGAGAGTTCAATGCACATACATTTTTTGTGCCGAGCACACACCTCATGATGACCAAAGCAAAGACAAGCAAATGCCGAACGAGTGTCAACCGATGAAAATTGTGTATTGAAGTTCAAAAGTCATTGCATTGTGTCACATTAAAGAAACTTTTTTAAAATGTTGATTAGAAAATTCAATGTGAATCGCGTCGGTTTTGATTTTCAATGCAATCCTATCGTCTTCAGTCAATTGCCAATGAATATTCGGTGCATGAATGACAAATTTTTTTTTGTAATTAGTTGATTACCTGTGTAATGTCAAAGTAGAGGTCATTTATGTGGCCTGAACTGATTTCGGCATTCCGGCAATAGAATTACGGAGAGAAAAAAACTCGTTATCTTATGTCTGCATGCATTTCGGGGTACATAACCTCAATTCGAAATTTCGTTTTGATTATTCATTCGGCAAAATCTTCCGCGATCTTATGTCTATACTGAAAACTAATAATATTAATTTACGTAATACATCAATGACACCACCAACACACCATATTCACATGATTATCTTTCCAAATTATTAATGTTTACATTGTTTTCGTTTGTTCTCTTTATTTATTTATTTCGTGGTTGTGTTTCAAAAGAAATGTTACGAAATGAAACAATACAAAAATGGCCTAAAGCTAGCCAAACAGATATTGTCGAATCCAAAATTCACAGAGCATGGCGAAACATTGGCCATGAAAGGATTGACATTGAATTGCTTGGGACGAAAAGATGAAGCATACGATCATGTACGACGCGGTTTACGAAATGATTTGGGATCGCACGTTTGCTGGCACGTCTACGGTTTACTACAACGTTCCGATAAGAAATACGATGAGGCCATCAAATGCTATCGAAATGCATTGAAATGTGAAAAGGACAACATTCAAATTCTGCGCGATTTATCATTGCTGCAAATTCAAATGCGCGATTTGGAAGGATACAGGGTATGTCCGACTCGTTTTTTTCTCTTTACAGAATTATAATTGAATTTTTTTAATAAATAGGAGACCAGACATCAATTGTTCAAATTAAGGCCATCACAACACGCATCTTGGATTGGATTTGCAATGAGCTATCATTTGCTTGGCGATTTTGCAACGGCCAATAGTGTGCTCGATACATTTCGACAGAGCCAAGTGAACGTAAGTCATTCATTAATGACAGCGCGGTCGGTGTATTTAATCGATTCTTATTATTTCAGGAGACCTATGATTATAAGCATAGTGAGCTGTTGCTGTATCAAAATCAAATTCTACAAGAATCTGGTGACTTCGAAAAGGCATTAAAGCACATTGAAGAGTTTGAATCGCAAATCGTCGACAAACTGGCTGTCAGAGAGACAATGGGTGATTTGTGCCTTAAGTTAGGTAATTTTGAGAAAGCAGCCACGATTTACGAAGGATTGATCAAACGTAATCCCGAAAATACATTGTACTATGCCAAATTCATTGAATCAAAACGTGTGGAACAACCGGAAGCAATAACTGATTTGTATCGTAAATTCCAAACGGATTATCCGCGTGCAATTTGCCCAAAACGTTTACCATTGAATGTTGCCAGCGGTGAACTGTTTCGTGAGCTAATCGACGATTTCTTGCGTCGTGGATTACGCAAAGGTGTACCACCATTGTTCGTTAGTCTTCGTTCCATGTACAAGGACGAAGAAAAAGTGAAAATTATCACCCAAGTAGTGCTCGACTATTATGTTAATTTGAAAGAGTCAAATCATTTTTCGAAAAAAGATCGCGAATCAAATCAACCAATTGAACCGGCCTCAGCACTGCTATGGACACTTTATTTTTTGGCTCAACACTATGATTTTTTGCGTGTCACCGAAAAAGCAATCGAATTTATCAATGAAGCCATCGAACATACGCCAACGCTTATCGAACTATTTGTGTGCAAAGGTCGCATTTTCAAGCATGCCGGAGATTTAATTGAAGCATTCAAATGGCTGGACGAAGCCCAAAGCTTAGACACAGCCGATCGATATATCAATTCAAAATGCGCTAAATACATGCTCAGAGCCAATTTGGTGAAAGAGGCCGAGGATATATGCGCGAAATTTACGCGTGAAGATGTGTCAGCTATGGAAAATCTCAACGAAATGCAATGTATGTGGTTCCAAACGGAATGCGCTCAAGCCTATCAACGGCTGGAAAAATGGGGTGACGCATTGAAAAAGTGCCATGAAATCGATCGCCATTTCTCCGAAATTATCGAAGATCAATTCGATTTTCACACATATTGCATGAGAAAAATGACACTTCGAGCATACGTTGGACTATTGAGGCTAGAAGACATTCTACGGCAACATCCATTCTATTTTAAAGCTGCCAAATGCGCGATTGAGGTTAGTAGGATGATTCACACGACTTTTTATGTTGAATGTTCAAGAAATTATTTTTCAACTCATTAAATTTGTATACATTTTAGGTTTATATTCGACTGTACGATAAACCCTTGCCATCTGAAAAACAAATTGAAGATGTCGACACAGGTAAAATGATCTGAACATTATCTTTGTGTGAGCCATGTGTGACTGAGTGTTTTTGTTTTTTTTTTTAGAAAATCTTCCGCCATCTGAGCTGAAAAAGTTGCGAAACAAGCAGCGTAAAGCGAAAAAGAAGGCCGAATTGGAGAGCGCTCAGGCTGCCCAAGCTCAAGTAAAGAAAGAACAACATAATAAATCGCGTCAGCAAAATCAAGACGGTGACCCGGAAGCGCCTCAACTTGATGAATTGATACCCGATAAATTAGCACGTCCGGATGATCCATTGGAAAAGGCGATCGAATTTTTAAAACCATTACAATTATTAGCCAAAGACTGTATCGAAACTCATTTGCTGGCATTTGAGATTTACTATCGGAAAAATAAGCTACTACTCATGTTGCAATCGATTAAACGTGCTCAAGCAATTGATGCGACCAATGCACAATTGCACTTCTGCATCGTTAGATTTTCGAAAATGTTAAAATCCGTAACGAACAATGTCGAACTTAATGAGCATGTTAAAATTGTACTTGAACGAGAAACGGCCAAAATATTCAACGGCAAATCGGCTACCGAATTAAATCAATCGATATTGAATACGTTCGGTAAATCATACGATCATGTTCTCCATGTGGCCAAAGCGATGATTGAATTGGATACAACCACTAAAGATAAAGCAATCAATTTGATCGTTTCGTTTCCCCTTGATAACCTAACATTAGAGGTAATTTTTTTTACATTTTTTTATCGCTTCAAAACCAACTAACTGTGCGTATTTTTTTCCGTTTCGATTAAAACTATAGCAAGGGACGATGGCATACACAACATTGACATCGGAAGCATTTGGCGTCAGTGCGGATCAATTGAAGTCGTATAAGTCATTGTGTCAAAAGCGTTTTACACAAGCAACGATTTTCCGTGATGTTCAGCCAGTGACGGTGACAGTGGAAGAAACTGCTGCGCCAGCCTCTTGAGAAACTAATCACACACTTAATCCATAGGAATCAAGACAAAGAATTGAAAAATTTAAATTCACATATATGCAACGCAATAACTAAACAAACCATGGAATCAATTGTTTTTTTGATTCGATTTTATACATACATTTATTGCAACCATACCAACCCAAGCATTTAATTGTAAACAATGATACGGTACGATCTAAACCACACTAGAGAGTAAACGGATACAATCTAACGAAACGAATCAATTTACGTACAATTACACAGATTTGAAACATAAAAAAACACACGTATTTAAAATCATTGAATAAATTGAACAATTTACGTGAACATTTAGAAACAAAACACTTCTTTTTTTAAATCGAAGTAACATTTCACCAACATTTACACAATTTTAATAAATTTAACGAGAGAGAAAATTGAATAAAAACTCAAGCAAAAAAAAAAACTTTTATTGTATTGCATAATAGATATGGAGAAAATAAAGAAAATAGTGAATACTGAGTGGAATAAATCGTTTTACTTGAATTTAATAAAAATTTGAATTTATTCAAAGTTCCTATTGCCTTTAAAGTGTCATAAACTTTTATAAGTTTTTCTTGTGAATTTTCATAATTCATTATCTTTATAGCACCTTAAATACAATGTTTGCTATAACCTGTTACTAAGGCGCTCGTTTTCTGCTCTGTTTTGAACTTTTTTTATATTCAGCGTATTTTATGTCTGTGAATGTTTATGATTATTGTTTTTTTTTTTTCAAAAGTCTGTCTAATCAGCAAATTTGACAGCTTTGCAAAGCTGCTACACATTTGCGTCTTCAATGCAAACAAAGCATTTGAAAATGACTTATGTGTAGGTATACAGTAGTCAATTTTGAAATAGTGTACAATCTATTGTTTATTAATGCTTTAAGAAATACAGCGGGTAGTTAAAATAATACAGTAACAGACGTACATAAAACTCGCCGGTACTAAATCAATGTTCGTTTCATAATGAAACTTTCATTCAAACGAAAAAGATCCATTTCATGTCACGTCTTCATTTTGATACCCAAACATTTCTATTCAAATTCACGTAAATTTATCGATGCATACTTCTGCCCGCCTCTGCCAAAGCTTAAAATATAAAAATAATTTTCATTGCAAACACCATCAATAGCAAAATTATAATCATTCTTAAACGAAGCTTCTTCAGAAATTTCAAATACCCCTTTGGTTTTATCCAACAATGTTTATGCACAAGTTTGATCAAATAAATTGACTCTTTGATACATTGTGTAATTTTTTTTTGTTTTTAGTTCTACGCTTGTTATGATTGTTTTGATCGATTTAAGTCCATTCCAAAGATATTTATCTGCCAACTTTCATCTGCCTGTTCATTTTGATAACATCTTTTCACGTGTTTTCAATGGAATTATAAACGGAACGAATGGATTAATTGCTGCATGTTTTGCAGCTTTGCATGAAAATCTTTATGGTGCCCTGGCATTAAGATCAATTTTCTTTTATACAAACTATTACCGTGAACAATAATTAATATTTTGTATAATAATTTCTTTTACCTATTCATTACCATTAATTTTACACTAACAATGTCGTATTGAAACACAACAATGTCATGTCAACTGTTGACATTAGTACTGAGTTAAACTCCGAGAAAAAGTAACCATTTGAACTGAATGTCTCTCATTTAGGCAATAAAATCCAATAATTTGTTTTATTATTTCCAATCGTTCCGTTCGATTCAGCGGCTTTTAAGTGTTTGATTAGAAAGGGTCAACGACAATAATTGACAATAATGCGTTGAATGAAGATGGTTCAGCGCAACTATATTAAATGGATGTTTTGACAAATATAACTATCATTAATTATCACCAAATTGTCTCATTTCCATTTATTTCAATTTGAACTATAATATAGCTTCATATCACTGAGCGATACATTTCCGAGGGGCAAATGCCTCGTTGTAAATTCGCCTCATTCTGCGAAATTTTCACAAGTTCACATAATACTCTCAACTAAATACTAATAAGGTATGAATATCATTTAAATTTGAAATTCATTTGGAACAAAGAGACTTTTAGGTGAAAAAAATATCAATGAAAAGACGTCCAAATTCTTGAAAAAGCCGGTTTTGCAACTGATGAATAGCCCATGCATCCCATAACAATAAATTAAAATTTAATTAAATGAGCGTAATCGCTAATTAGTGTAAAACATGTCAAGTTCTTCTACTAAATCATTCGTATTTAAATGTAAAAATCAATCAAATTCACAAAAACTGGAAAAAGAGATCTATTTGATGACTAAAACTAGTTTCAATTCATGCTTTTAATGTTTTCGGGAACAATATTTACGCTGGTTTTGTTTATCTTGAATCACTGCCAGTGATTCACTGGGAATATAATAAAAACTATAGTGGTTTTGAACTAATATTCGCATCATACGGATCGCTGGTGGTAGGGGTGAAGAGCAAAAAAATCATTACCACAGAGTTCTCAAAATGAAATTTTAAATCAGAATCACAAATCAAATGAATTGAATTTGAATTCTCAAATTATTTGACTGTTTTTATTTGAACCATATGAATATTCGATACGGTATATTTTGACTTGTTACATTGCAATTTTGCACTACGTAAAAGCATTCGAAAATGGTATAAATTTGTATGAGTTCCTGTAAGTTTTTTTGTCAGTTCCTCAAGAATTGAGCAACTTGTAATTCATTTACCCCTAGTGAATTTCTCTTATAATTTATTTTAACAATGTCAGTATTCAGGAATGTTACTTCCAGGTCATAAATACAGCGTGTCGGAGTTGTTCAAAAGCGTTATTTCATATTTCATTGTCTGTTTTTGATCATGTTTGATTATTATCTTAACTGTCTTGATTCTTATAGGTCGGTCCAAGAGACTCTTTTATTGCATTGTGTTAATACATATATTAATCTGTGTATATGACGTTTTTTGTTGTTTAATATCATGTCAACTCAGAATATAATCGTCATATCTCCAATTCAGTTAGACAGAATACCCCGTGTGGATTAGATACAAAAATATTAAAAGAAGTGTCTGAAAAATGAAAACTTTTCTGAAAAATAACAAAATTCGAATATTGTTAATAGTGTCACTATTGTTAATTCTAACAATAGCATTCGATTATAATTTTTTCCGTTTTCGTCTTGTGTCCTCACCAAACAACGATCTCATCGAAGTTGAACCTCTATTTGCTCATGTTGTGAGTGCTTTTGATTAAAGAAAAAAACAAATTTTACTAAATCGCAAATGTAATTTTCATAGATATTTCGACATGGTGAGAGAAATATAGAAAGAACCCATCCAACTGACCCGTATGCTAGTGAGAGCTATTGGCCTGGTGGATATGGAGCACTCACAAAAGTAAGTAAAATAATTTGAAAAAATCGTATTATTTTTAGTGAATTGAATGTTTTCCATGCTAGAATGGCAAAAAAGACATGTATGAGCTTGGTAAATATTTACGGCGACGTTATAACAAAGTGATTGGAGAACATTATACGCCAAAAACGGTTTATATTCATAGTACCGATTATGATAGATCGTTGATGAGTGCCGAGATTCTTGCATCAGCTTTATTTCCACCAGCTGGCGATCAAATTTGGAACAAGAACCTAAAATGGCAACCAATACCAGTGCACACCCGTCCAATGAGTCAGGAACTGCTTTTGGCTTTCAAAATGCCATGTCCACGTTTCACATATTTATTGGAGAATTATAAGAAAAGCACAGAATATAAAACAACGCTTGCCAAGTATGGTCCGTTGATTAAACACTGGGAAAATCAATCCGGAAAATCACTCGAAAAACCTTTCGACATCTATTACTTACACGATGCACTTTATGTGGAACATCGACTGGGATTCGAGTGAGTTTATTAACAACATGTTTTGTTCAATATTTTCAAAAGTAGTTTCGGTAGATAAATCGTATTTTTTAACTATTATTATGAATAATATAGCCTTCCTGAATGGGCTGATGAAGCTATTCAAGGGAATAAAACATTGGAATACCTAGCTGCATTTGAACTACAATCATATTCACAATCAACGGAAATGAAGAAATTAGAAGGCGGTTTCGTAATAAAAGAGATGCTGGATCGCTTTAAAGAAAAATCATTGGACACGCTCAAACCCAATCGTACTTTATGGATTTACTCTGCACACGATTTAACTTTTGTCAATATTTTGAATTCTCTGAACGTATTTGATATGAGTAAACATTCATTTTTTGCATTTTATGCGAGTAAATAATCGATTCTGTTGTATTTTACAGTTACACATGCCACCATATGCATCGAGCTTGCACTTTGAATTGTATAAATCAGGCGATGATTACCATGTTCAATTATTCTATAGAAAATCAAAGGAAGAAATTCTTGTGCCATTAGAGATTCCCAATTGTGGTACAATGTGTCCATTGAATACACTCTATCAATTATACAAAGATATTTTGCCAACAGAATTTGAGGATTTCAATTCAGCATGTCGCCACTACAGCAGTAAATGAACATACAATTGATGTTTTATTTATTGAAAACAGAACTAATCGCTTTTATTTATTCATGACATCTAAAAGGTTCAAATAGTTTTTTCTCCTTTTATGATGAATATACCGTTGGAAATGAATAGAATAAAATCAAAACTTCAAAATAAATTAAAATGTTCATGAACAAAAATGATTTTTAATATGAAGCCTCTAGTAAAACAGGTAATAACATTGCTACACGTGCCATACAGAAATTAGTTCAAATCAAACCTCCGAAGAGCATAGCCGCCAAAATTAAAAAAAGAAAAAAAAATAATTCAACATGCCAGTAAAACCACTTCAAACGAATCGGATGATTCTAACATGGCTTTGTTTGTGTCGAGCAGAAAAAAATACCTCCAAACAGAAAAAAATACTGTGTTGCTGTTTTGGTTTAATTGTTTTCGTGGCAATTTCAAGAATGTTCATTTCCAGCACTGAATTTGTCATAGAGTGTTTCAAAAATCAAAGGATTGAAGACTCACTTTATGCACTTTTTCAAGTTGCCCCTTATTTTGGTGTGTCATACGTTATGGTAACTGCCTTTCTTCTGCGAAACAAAATGAACAGCATTTTCGACAAATTATTGGAAATTCATGAAATATGTAGTTTGAATTCCACTATTTTATTGCAAAATAAAAGCTAGCTTGCAATTAATATCAAATATATTTTAGGTGAAGACACGGAATTTTTTCAATATATGGTAGAAGCAAACGATAAATGTGAATGGTTATGTAGGAATTATTTCAAATTTGTGATGAGCGGATTTTCTATAAATACAGCTTTGATGGCTACGATATCTATTTTATTTGCTTGGATTTTTAAAGGATACCTGGATATCAACCACCTTTTACCGAACACATAGAAACATGTAAGTGGAAAGGAATTAAAAACTCTTAGATTTTTTTAGTTAAAAAGACAACAGCGAAAAGTTAGGTCATATGCAGCAAATCACATAGCTTGGAATTTCATCTATTTTATTTATTATTATTTGAAAAGTCGCATGTTATAAAATAGTCACCCCTTATAGTTCGCAAAAATTTTTATGCATTAATTTAGCGCGTATAACTCTTTTCCAAAAAAATATTTGTTAAATAAACAAGGTATAAAATATAAAATGAATTGAACATCAAATATTTGAACGTTAAGAATTAGGTACGATTTTTTAAAGCAAAAAATACAAATTTTGTATATACTATATACAAAATGAAAATGGTCATCTGTCATTAACAGATCTCAACTACATTCGTCACTTTTCTAATGTTGACAACCAGTGATGGTTTCTCGTTAGCCAGCATTGTCTTAGCCTTGGCTTACACCAACAACTGGTGTATGCCAATCGTTAGCCAGCTATATGTGTGACTATGTACGATTCTCACTGACGTTTATGATTGACATACAACTCAGTGTATATATGTATGTATTAGTGCTGGTTTACACATTCGTTAGTTAGCCAGTGTATACATTTGTGGCAAATTAGCCAGCTAATGTGCCCATCACTGTTGACAACACCAAATTATCAATACTTTCTTTTGTATGCGTTACAACATGTGGATCCTGCATGACTAATTAAAGTACGAAATACAACCCATCTTCTGCAATTTGCATGCATTTTAGCTGATGATGTTTAATGAAAAGTGGTTGAAGTTTGATGAAATATTTCAGACCTCTAGTGAGGACGTATGAAATGAACATGAACATTTTAAAAATTGAGAAGAAAATTGAAATAAAATTAAAAAAAAAAAAACAAAAACACCGACTATTTTTACTTAAATAAAGAGGTAATGTCAAATGCCTTTATAAAGTCCCTAACGCAGTTTCTTATACTCTTTTACTCACACACAAACAAAACAAAATGTCAAAAAACAGCTGTTCGACCGAACCATTCATAACCAACTTCATGCTACTAGTAGATTCGGAATGAAAATAATGTTTGAAAATTCTATGATATTTCGAAAAATGAACTAATTATTTTGGAATTTTTTAATCTGTTTAGAATAAAATAAATTTTTAAACATTTTTTGTACTAGCAATATTTTAATAAACATTCACTTATTATTTAATTTTCACAATTTCCATCAATTCACAAAATTTAATTCATAGCACTAGCATGAAGTTGGTTATATGTCAACCTTTATTCATTCGTATAAAAACATATTATGTTCACGCACACATAAATGTTGGGGAGTTTTGACAATTCCTCTTTCCCAGTATTCCCAGTTTCGACTTTAACATAATGAATAATCCATGATCGTTCTATGACGATTTATGACTGTTTTATTACCTATTGTTATATTTTTTAGAAAATCCTTTACAGCACTAAATTAAATACAAAAAGCACATAACAACGAGAACAATT